TGACTTATCGATATGCCTGATTAGTAATTAATATTGGGAGACAAACATAAGAAGTAACTAAAACAGATCAAAAAAAAAAAATTTTTTTTTTTAACTTGCATTATCTTTTTTCACTAGAGGTGCCAGTTTAAGAAATCAGCAATTTAATCAAATTAAAGTACTGTGAATGTACATTAACATACAGGTTAGTCTCTACTGTTATAGGGCTTCAGGACTTTTTGATCAAATCTTGATAATTGTTGGGTTATATTCTTAAGCTGCTTAAGAACATAACTCAACAAATTATCAAGATTTGATCAAAAAGTCCTGAAGCCCTATAATGGTAGAAACTAACCTATACATAAAGTTTGTGCATGACTCATATTGATATGCCTGATTAGTAATTAATATTGGAAGACGAACGTGAGGAGTAACTAAAATGAATCAAAAAAAAATTTTTTTTTTAACTTGCATTATCTTTTTTTGCTAGGGGCACCAGTTTAAGAAGTGTCTCTTGTTCATTCTAAACCCTATAACAAAAAATTTATTCTACTAGTCTACTAGCTGTTGTCAACCACCAGTCATTAACTACCAGCTGTTGTTAACCACCACCAGCCATTGTCAACCACCACCAGATGTTGTCAACCACTAGTTATTAACTACCAGCTGTTGTCTTATTGTCTACAAGTTTGTTAACTACCAGTTATTGTCTAACAGTTGCATACCATTACAAGTGTAGCTGAAACAAATATTATAACAAATAGATAAGAATAAAGAATAACTCACTTATTTTTACAATCCAAGCACAAACCTTAAATTTTCAAGTTAACAGGTATGATTAATTTTTTATTTAATTTTCAATAATATTTACTAAGAACTAATCAAAGGTAATAATTATTCAAAATAAGGTTGACTAAAACCAGGCAGGCTGTAATTTTTATTTCACTATGTCTGATTATATGCATGATGATGATGCACTTTCTTCAACTGATAGAGGGTCACCTAGAGATGTAGAACTATCTATAGGTGATGAACTATTCATAGGCGATGAACATCCTAAAGCTGAAGAAAAAACAAAAAAAAGAAAAAAACAGAATAATTCTAGTATAGTGTGGGACTATTTTAAAACTAAAAAAATAGAAAATAGTTTTTTTGATGTCTGTCAACTTTGTATACAAAAAGGTATTACAGTTAAATATTTACATAATTCTTTAACTGGAAATATGCTTGGTCATCTTTGGACCAAACATAGAATTGATAAAGACTATTCTGAGAGAATAGATACTAGTGGCACAATCATAAAAGCCATGCACGTTATTACCAAATATCACCAAGAAAAACTGACACAATGTTTGATTAAATTTGTTATCGAGGATTGCCAGCCTTTAAATATTTTACACTGTCAAGCTTTTTGCCGACTCTTAAATAATACTGTGCCTGGATATCAGATTCCCTGTGAAATAACTATGAAAAAAAGAATTAACCTATCTTATAATTAGAGTCAAGATCAGTTATTTGGTTTGATGAACACTAATGGTGAATTTATAAATTTAACAACAGATTTATGGAGCTCAAGAATGAATAAAAGTTATATTGGAATTACGACAACTTGGGTTGACTCAAATTTTGTAATAAGAGAGGCCTTATTAACAATTTAGCTACTTCTGTCACCTCATATAGCTAAAAATATTAAAAATTCGCTTAACCAAGCTATTTCTGAATGGGGACTGGCCAGACATATTTTTTGTATCACTACTGACAATGGTGCGAATATTAAAAAGGCAATTGGTTTAATGAAAGATACTACACAATTAGTCTGTTCTGCTTATATGCTTCAATTAAGCATATTAAAAGGCCTTAAACCTGCAGCACAACTAATCAAATGGGCCAAAAATCTTATTTTATTTTTTGCTCAAAGTTCTAAACAAATGGAATGACTCAAAGATGCACAAGAAAAGTATAGATATTTAACAATTTACCAAGTAACTGATAATATATCAACAAGATAGAATTCTTCATATTTGGCCTAGATTTAACTTAGAGAATTACGAAAAGCAATTGATTATCTTGCTCTTATGCTACTATTAGAGTATGAATGTTGTGACCAACTTGATGATGAATATTTGAAGTTAATAAATCTAACAACTAATGAATGGCAATTATTGGATGATCTCATCTTATTACTAAAGCCATTCTATGAAGCTACTACTGTATTTTTTGGCTCAACTTATTCTACACTCAATCTCATTTATCCAACAATAAAACTACTTATTAAAAAGTTTATGCCTTCTGATGGACAAACTAAAGAGGATTATACTGATTTATTATTTGAATCTAGGGAACAAACAAATAACCAAAGTCAACTAATTGATGAAGAGAATTCTGATGAAGATTCTGATGAATCAGATATAGATGAATCTGTAATATTGATAATTTTAGACTAACTTTGGCAACCATTACATGTATCACAAGGACAAAAAAAAAACAAAATTATAGAAAAACTAAAAAGAATACTTATAAGCAATATAAAGATCCACAGTTTAAAGGTTTTTTACTTACATATTTTGTTTTTTTCTTAATTATTCTAATTAATCTTGATTTTTATTCTTCTTTCCCAGTAGCTACAAATTTAATTTTCCTTCTAATATTTGAATTTGCTTTGCTTTTTAGATCGTCATTCAGTAGTATCACCTGTTAATACTAAAGAATTATATTATGTAGTTAAGGTTACAAGTTATCTTTCTCTTAAAGAATATTAGAAAGTTCCTCAAGAGGTTAGGCTTATTGCATTATTTTTGAATCCACAGATAAAAAATTTAAAATTTATCAATGATATTAAAATAAGAAATAATGTAATAAGCACAGTATGAAAACTTTGTGCTGAAACTGAATATTACAGAACTTCAGTTCAAGTTTCAAAAAATGATGAACTTGCCAAGTCATCTAATATGTCAACTTCTAAACCTACAGTAACCAGTGATTTAATGGCAGATTTATATGGTAATGAAGAATCGGATGAAATAATTGAAGAGTCTGAAGTTGATCGCTATTTTTATGAACCTATTCAAAAAAGGATATGTGATCTATTGAAATAGTGGAAAGATAATGTGAAAAAATATCTCATATTATCAAATCTGACTCAAAAATACCTGTCAGTTCCTGCAATATTAGTTTCTTTTGAATGATTATTTTCGGATGCAAGATTACATATCACAGCATTGCATAACAGACTCCAACCAAAAATGGTTAAACAAATGTTGTTCTTCAAGCGCAATATGCAACATTTTTCTATTTTTAGGCCAAAATTCTAAAATAATATAGGGATAATATTTATTTGTATTATTTATAACAGGTAATTTTGCACTTGAAATTTGATAACTATCTTAATAATTATTTTGTAGTCCAGAAAGAAGTATCACAAACTGTGATTATAGTTTATTCATTCATGCTAAGAAAAAAAACATTATACTAGTGCTTGAATAGCATTGTAAATGTAAAATTTTTTGATGTTGGTTTAATGAAAAAGAAAAATTTTTAATATAGTAATCAAAAATATAGTTGTGCTACAAAATAAAATGCTAAGATAATTATATTAATAACTAAAATAATTATAAGGAATTAAGATAAAAAAATTCTAGGATCAGAATAAATAGATAAAGTACATTAGGCCTTGGATCAGACGAATTGTTAAAATTTTCATATATATCTGTTTTATATTATACTTTATGTCTGAACATGCTTTAACTTATAATTATCAATTGTCTTATTTATTATAAGTTCTGTAAATAAGTTTCAATATTACTAAAAAAAACAAAAAAAAACAAGCATATCAAAAAGGGATATTAAAATAAGGCTACAAAGTAAGTATTTCATGTTACTATTGATTTCTAATAATCACATAATACTAATATTCAATTTTTGTTATAGAAAACTATTAAGTTGAAAAAAAAACTTCACTATAGAAAAATACTACATTTTCTTATATTATGCTAAAGTTTGCTAGTATTTTAAAATTCTTTATTATGCTAAATATCAATTCATTATAACAAAAGTCATATAATTTTAACCAAAATATAATGCAAAAAATAAAAAATAAAAAGATATGAATTGCTCACTGTACATATATATACAGTTCTTCCAATATTTTTATCGAACTTATATATTTATAAGAAATTTTTTTGCTTTATTTCATCAGATTTATTTTATTATTGATATAATTCGTATCATATTTTTAAAGTTAAAATAACATGATCGACTAACGTATATACTGTACAGTATGTATAACGAATTTTGTATAAATTATACATATGCATTGACCGATTATCTGTATTATCTGAATTGACTAGACCAATTGGGTAACCTTCTAATTAGATATTTGTGTCATTTGCCCTTGTCAATTATTCATATTACTCAGTTTAATCAAAGATCTGGTTTTAATTTTGGGTAACCAGATGATAATCAGTTTCAATCTGATGGTTAACAGTTTTAAATTTTCAAACCAGTTTGGAACCCTAGATGTTAGTACTGCTACATTAGCACAATTTATTTTTTAAAAAATAGTTTATAGATATAAAATTTTCAAAATTATTATATCTGATCAATAACAAAACTTTACTAGTAAAACTATTTGCATTTTATATAAAAAGTTTTTAATTAAATATAAATTTTTATTATCATATTATCTACAAACTAATGGCATGATTGAAAAATTCAATTATATACTTTGTAAATCTTTTGCTAAAATAAAAAGAATAAATGATAAGGATATTTATATTCTTATTGTATTATTAGCATATTAGACAAAAAAGCATACTATAACTGAATATACCTCATTTTAACTTATTTATAATTGGGGGTGTGGCGACCTAGTGAAGTGGTCAGGTTGTCAACCCCCAAGTGGCAGGTCCAAAGTTCAAATCCCAGTGTTGACAGAAAATTT